AATAATTAATAAATAAAAATAAATATATATATATATATATATATATATATATATACATCAATAATACAAATTATATAAAACAATACAATATTACTACTTATGTAATGTATCATTATATACACAATTATATAATACAATTATATAATATGTTTACTGAAAATATATTTCTGGATATTGATAAATATTTATTCTTTGTTATTCATAGGCAAACTTGGAAGATATGAAAATGTCTTTTGAATTAAGCATAATCATTCTTCTTAAGATAAAAGATGTTTATTCAATGTATAATCGTCTGGACGATCCCGAGGTATAACTAAATGATATTTTTTAAAACATGTTACATGTAATGAAAAAATACATACAATTTCATACAAATTTTTCAGAAGTCAAAAAGTGTATTTATGGAAACATTAAAATATATTTTCTTTATGTCGTCACATACTTTTCCCGCTATATGTTACGGAATACTTACATGTATTGGTGAAAAAATATCAGAATCTAGTTATACAAAAATGATGGATATAAGGACACAATTAAAAAAACAATTTAAGGTAGAATTTTAAATATATCATTTTTCTAATTTTTCATTTGACATATTAATATATCAATTTATTAATTATTAATATTAATTATTTATTTAGTTTTTAAATTTATTTGTATTAATTTATTTATTATTAAAGTAATGTTCACTGATATTTATTAATTATTTTATTAGGAACTTTTGGGCGATAATGGAGTATTAATTTGTCCATCTTTTATCTCATCGGCGCATTATCCCCATGACACCTTGTATAATGTACCCAATTATTCTTATTTGATGATCTTCAATGTGCTGGGATTTCCAGTTACGCAATGTCCAATTGGCTTTGACAAAAACCAATTGCCAATTGGACTTCAGGTAAAAACACACTGTAGGATTTGATTTTGTAGGATATACAATTTAATGAATAACTCCGCTTTAAATTATAAGAAAAACGGACTGATTGAATAACTATAATTATAACTATAACTATAAGGCAACGAACGAAAATGGATGCATAGGCATAAGAAATTTTTTTCTTTCTCATTAATATTACTATGTTACATTCAAACTATTGCCTATTGAACTAGTTATGAATTTATAATCGCCGAATTTATTCATGTTCTTAAGAATGGAATTATCATAATTATTTTTAATCAGTTTTAATTTTATTTTTGCAGATCGTCGCGAATCCGGGTTGTGATCATCTAACGATTGCTGTTGCGCAAGAGATTGAAAGAACATTTGGTGGTTGGCGTGAACCAGACGAATTAATTTGCGACATGACATAATTTTACAATAAATTTTTTTATTTTTGGCATTTATCTTCAGAATTGAAATTTTTTCCAATATCAAAATTTTGATAAAACTTGTAACTCCCGAAAGAATTGAATCAAATTTATGACGTAGCATCATTTTCAATTTTTCTATGGCAAACATAGTATGAGTTTAGAAAATATTAATCAATATTTTGATTCAACATTTTTTATTATTAAAAAATTTTGTTTAACTGATGACATAATAAAATCTTCAAAGAATTTTGATGGAACTTTTTACCTCGTAATTACTATTGACTTGGTATTTTCAAATTTATATATTGTATTTATTAAATTATTCAATTATGCAATTAATGTAAAATAGAATTTGGTTTTATATACTTATATTTTTATTGATGATAAATTAATATGTTTCTATGTTAATGAATACTGTTATTTATTTATCTGCCGATATTTGAACAATTATTATGCACACACACACACACACACACACACACACACACACACACACACACACACACACACACACACACACACACACACACACACACACACAGACGACTTAAAATCTAAAAAAAGCCAGTACAATTTAAAATCATTACGAAGAAACTAAAAATAAATAAGCATATAAGAATTGAGAATCTGATAAATTTGATAAATTCTTTTTTGGCGTAAAATCCAATTAAATATTTCTCGATTTTATTAGCATTAATATTACAGCTTTATAAATTAATCGTGATATAAATAACATGTATATACACCTCCCCTCTTGCCTTACATTTATTTATTTAAAAACCAAATATTCCAACGATCCATCATGGAAACAATTTTTTTTTTAAATTAAGTTCTTTTTTATTTATTAAATACATTTATGCATTAATATATAATAAATTGTATTTTATTGTATTTTAAAACATCCAGTTTAGATTTATTAGAATTTTGAAAAAAAAGAAAGAATTTATTGCGTAAATTTTAATCTTAAATAAATTTTTTAAATAAAATAAAATATTATTATGCGAGTTTTGCTGACGTACTATGGCTGTCTGGATAACACCATAATAACATCAGAGAAAACATGATAAAAGTTTTTGAAATTATAATGGAAGTATTTTCCAAAATAAAATAATTATTAAAAGCTATAAAACAGATTTTTGTAAAATATGCAAAAATTCATATTTTGCATCGATATTTAACAAATAACCATATAATATATTTTCATAATTATATTTTGGCTCTTTGATCGATTTGACATTGATTTAAAATTCAATAATTTAAAAAAATAAAATAAAATGCAGTGATGACGTAATCAGACTTACCATGTGATTTCACATGTTGATTCTAACCTAGCATTAGTTACACGAAAATCATCAGATTCACAGTATCTAGTTTTATACAGTATCTAGTAATTATACATTTTTTTAATGAATGATTAAAAATGTATATTCGTAAGCTGTGATACATTTTGTTTGACAATTATAAAAGAAAGATGTGTTCGATAAACGATTGCAATTTTGACGGCAACGATGATAAAGTACTTAAAAACACGAAAGATTTATCAACGTAAGTATAATTATAATAAATAAATAAGAAAAATATAATGATTGATAAAAAGATATTATTGATTGATATTATGTTTATATTTTCTTTCAACAGAGATGCAATAATATGCAGAAAATGCAAGTGTAAAAACGTTGATGTTTTATTAGTCGGTCAAAGTGGTTATTGCAATGTCTGTTTCTTGAATGTTATAAATCACAAGTTTCGAGCCGCGCTTGGCAAATCTAAGATTATCCGTCATGGTGATTCAATATTGGTCGATCACTCAGGGGAATTAAATTCTACAGTGCTTTTACATCTCATTAAAGCTGGCATGAGTGAATCTACTCACAAGAAACTCATCTTTAAAACAACAGTTCTATATATACATGGTGAGTTGCAAAAGTTATTAATTTTTCATTACGTCAAGTTTTGATATTGGGAAAAATTTTAATATTTAAATAGATGATATTATGACGAAGAAAACGCATGAAGAAAGAGTTTTACTTGAATGTAAAATTGCTAAGGAAGTAAAAGATCTTGGATTTAATGGTTATGCTGTCTCAATCAGTCAAGTTTTAAATAAGGAAGATGCTTTGGATGTAAGACCAATAGATCAAGAAATAAACAATGAGAATGATAGTCAGTTACAATTGATATTGACCAATTTATTGGATGATACATCAAGAATGGATTTAGTCGATCAATTGCGTCGAAAATTACTTCTGTCAGCAGCTCGAATACTTAATTGTAACAAGATATTTGTAGCTGATTCCGCTATAGATATTGCTACAAAGGTACTTGGAGATATTTGTTTGGGACGTGGTGCACAGCTTTCTACTCAAGCAAACTTCTGTGACGCTAGATGTGAAGATATTAAGATACTCAAGCCAATGAGAGACTTCACACAACAGGAATTGATATATTATTCGGAGTATCATAAGATAAATTTTGTTAAGTTAAAGGAACCTAATATGAGTACGGTAACTTCTATACAGGCATTAGCACACAATTTCACGATGGGATTGGAATCTCAATTTTCTGGTACAGTATCTACTGTGTTTCGTACAGCTGATAAAATAAGCTCAAAAGGTGACATGCAGCAAAATATAGAAGATAATTGTGTTCTGTGCGACACAAGATTGGATTTTACATCCTCTGATGATAAAGTGACTGCCATAAGGGCAATTGAAGTTTCTAGGCTAGTATCCTCCAAACATATTGATGCAAAGGCTCCTCTTGGTAATGAAGAAAACGGAAAATCAAATTGCTTCGATTCGCGACCAAACAATGAATGCTGCAATGGCAATACCAAGTGTGAATGTAGGGATAGCAAAAAGAAACAAGTGACCATGAAAGATGTTTGGAGATATCTTTGTTATAGCTGCAGATTAATATTTCGAAACTCGGAGCTTTCAAGTACCTTGCCATCATCGTTATTGTTTGCCGTCCAACAAAGAGTAGCTTTAAAAAATATGAGAGAGGAAATAAATGACTTTCTATTATAAATAAGTAGAAAATGTTTTTACTTCCTGGTGCATAAAGTGATGAAATGAAAAGCATTTGTACATTACATATATATATCATACATTAATATGATGGAAATATATAAAAAATTTTTTTCACATAAATATAACATATATATATATATATATATATATATATATATAATTAATTTATTTATGTATTGCATTTATATTGCCTCATTATCTATCATGATAAGATTAAATTAAAAATTTGTCATTTCGTTAGTCTGTATTTGAATCAAGTTATTTAAAAAAGCAAGAAATTAAGTGACAAAACATAGACGAAGTTCTCAATTTTTATATTTTTCTATAAAATTTTTGAATAATGTTTATATATCTAACGGGATAATTTGAATATTCCCGTCGTTGCAAAAAGTTAACCTAACTTTCATTCGTGATTACGTAAAAGGCACGGATGTGAAGAAATTATTTTCTGTGCGCTAAGATTTTTCCTGAGTGAACGTAAACGGAAATAATAATTACAGAAATCAGAGTGTCGTTTATTTTATCAGTACGTAAAATAATATGGATATTGTTTATAAGAAGAATATTGTTTATATGTGCAATGAAAAGTTGTATTATTGTGCATATGTATTCTTTAGGTTATATCTTTTCATAAAAAAAAATCACAGTTTTAATCAAATTCGTATTTTTTTCATCGAATTACAAAGCAAAGAGTTTATCAACTTATAATCACATAAATAAATGTGTAAATAATGATTATCCATCAGAATTGAGATTTTTTTTGAGATTATTTATTATTATTATTAATTATTTTAAAATGACTTACACACACATTCAGCGTGAGTCATAATTATATTTAAAAATTTAGAAGTTATTTTATTAATTTATCTTGATTTATCTTTGATATGAAATATATAAAGTTAATATCTAAAATCTATTGGATAGCAATTGATTTAAATAATTCTGCTGCTTGAATTACCAATTAAGTTAATTGAAATTTGGTGGAAGCTGTCATTAAAATCTAATGAAAGAGCATATTAGAACTTTATATTGTCTAGATATATTGAATTCTTCACAGTCTCAAAGAATATCTATAATAAGACTATATTATCCGAAGTGTCAAATAGTATGTAACATGTATGATTTCTTAATATTATATTTTTGTGTAGGAACATCATGTTAGATTGGGAAAATGCGTCATGGATAAAAGGAGCCGCACCCCTCTTTAAGGGACCTCCTACAGATATCTTTCTTAATCTACGTAACTTGCAGGCCATGGAAAGATGTGCAAAATACGAATTACATTTTATGGACTGCATGGAGGCATATGGTTATCACAAAGGTCGAGAAAAATGCAGATTGATATATGAGGACATGTGCGAATGTATATTTAAAGTAAAGAGAAGGCGGCGCATCCAAGCAATGAATGCAGAGCGAGAGCGTCAGTTTTGGAGCGGTGAGAGGAAGAATCGTTACGAAGAGACTCCACCACTTGATCTATATTGAATCATTTATCCTTCCTCGCCAGAATAAACCATAGTTTACATATAAAATTATCACATGTAAAAGAATTTGATAGACGACAAAAGTATTTTATAAGTAATGATCTGACAGGAAATTTGCCACATCGGTTCGTTACTTAAAAATATCTCTAGAAATGTCTTGTCAATAAAATACATTCGAAGACATAATCTGTATTATTATTTCCGTTTTTCGCTCGTCAATTTATGTAGAAAAAATTGCGACAACTGTAATATCTAATCTGTAAAAAAATATTGGTATGTAACAATATATAAATGTAATAATAATATCTCGTGTAATTCAGAACATCCCATTTATATTTTTCACAGATGATGTTTTTCGCAACAAATTTATAGATTTTTGAAATATAATGTCAGTTAATATTAAACTCTTCGTCGATATGTTTTTAATAATAAATATAATAAACAGTAATAGTATAAATTTCTTTGTTACCGATATTAATGCAAATGTAAACGTCATCTTTATCTCTAAATCGCGTCAAGTTCGTTCCATTTATTATAGTGAAATTCAGTGCCTACAGATGACGCGTGGGTTTTCCACGACGATTGAAAATTCGCCTTGCGTTACGTGTACGCGGACCTCCTTCATGGTTTCCGTGCACGAAGGGAACCGTTCGTGCTATTCGATTGAGGATTAAATCGTAGACTTTATTTTCGGAATTGGCCAGGGTGAGTCGATACTTCTGCAGCATCACTAAGCAACGTACCGATTTTTCGTACTTCGTTCCGATCGAAAGTATCGAATCAAAGATCACTCGTGCATACGTTGGTGGAACCAATCCTCCTTGCGATTATGTAAACGGGTTGATATCGTGCCGCGCGTTTGGGGTTCCGTCAGACTTGACATTCATCACCGTGAATTCGACTTGATTGCACCGTATATTTTACGACTTGTTTTGTGATGCACGCGAGAAAGATTTTTAGAAATCGGAGACTGTCAAATGTGCAAATTGTCAGAAATCTTCCTTCGCAACATTCTCTGATTTCTGCATTATATTTATTATTTTCACTAAAAACTTGCAATGTTAATTGCATTACCTATTATTATAATAAAGTTACTTCTTCGAAATTGACTGTCAGATATTTACGACTTCTGTCATTTATTTCTAAATATTATTTTTAGTCTCTGTATTAATATTCTGTAAAATATTGGACTTTATACAAAATGACAAATATCTTCTGATACACGAAGAAATTTCAGTATATTTAGAATAAAGAAATATCACTCTGTACATTTTAATTATTTATAAACAATATTTAATATACTAAATGATTACAGATTTGTCAAGAAGTTTGGAAATGAAACCTGTCTTATATAAATAATTATACAATGTTAAATATATTTAGTTAATTTTGCTAAGGAATTATAATAATCGTTTAACTAAAGTATAAAATGGTTTCCTGAGAACTCAAACTTGCAGAAACTTGTCAGCTGACTACAATGTTCAGCAATCGTATATCACCCATCCTGCGGATGGCTGTACAGGAGCAGCAATGGCAGCAGCAAAGAGGGATGGCTACTCTCAAGACCATCTCCATACGTTTGAAATCTATTAAGAATATCCAGAAGATCACACAATCCATGAAGATGGTGTCAGCAGCTAAATACAATCGTGCGGAGCGCGATTTGAAGCAGGCTCGTCCTCTTGGCATTGGCACAAAGGTGTTTTATGAACAGGCTGAAATCCAAGCGCCAGAAGAAGAGCCAAAAAAACTTGTCATTGCTGTAACCAGTGATCGTGGTCTTTGCGGTGCTGTGCACACTGGTGTATCCCGTAACATTCGTGATCGATTATTGGCTGATCCCAAAGAACGCGAGAATACAAAGATTATATGTATCGGCGAAAAGTCTCGGGCGATCCTCCAGCGGCAGTTTGCGAATAACATGCTTTTTGTTGTATCCGAGGTCGGTCGCAAACCACCAACATTCAATGATGCAGCTAAAATAGCTATACAGATAATAAATAGTGGGTAAGTTGGCTATTAAAAATATAAACTCAGATTGGATAGAGAGTATAATCAAGTTATAGTTAATCTATATTTATGTCTATATTAATTGGCATTAATTATAAGTTCTAAATTTTTATAATTTGAATATAGTTTCTGGATCTTTTAGATATTTGAATTATATATGTTTTACCGGATTTTTTTAAAGATATACATATAATGTATTTTTTCGTAGTTACGCTTTTGGCTCTGGACGTATAGTATATAACAGATTCAAATCCGTGGTGTCCTACGCGGTTGACGACTTGCCATTGTTCGATAAGAATGCAGTAGTTACCGCTCCAAAATTGTCGATATACGATTCGCTTGACGACGAGGTAATACAGAGCTATTTGGAATTTTCACTTGCTTCACTGTTATTTTACTCAATGAAAGAAGGCGCCTGCAGCGAACAATCTAGCCGTATGACTGCCATGGACAACGCCAGCAAAAATGCTGGAGAAATGATCGATAAACTCACCCTCACCTTCAACCGCACTCGACAAGCTGTGATCACCAGGGAATTGATTGAAATTATCTCTGGTGCTGCTGCTCTGGATTAAAAATGTCTCTGAAGGATATTTTAGTTTCTCAATTTATAGTGCCGGCAAATAGAGAAATACGTTGCTGAAAAAAAAGAACGAGAAGACACCTATATGATGTCAAAAAATGAAAATCTTTATTGACTTGGACGATGTTCAATTAACTGTGTGAAGTTGCACTGTAAACATCAAGAATATTATAAATCTGTTATTTATATGTCCAAGTTATCCAATAAAACGATTTAAATTACAAAAAATAATAGCTGTACATTTAGTTGCGTGACATAAGAATAAGAATGTTATGGATATATAACATCAAAAATATTAGATAAAATGTTAAATTTCGCGAGTATGATAATTTGTAAGAACATTATAAGTTAATATAATAATATAATAAGTTAATATAATAATTTCAGAAATATATGAACGTCAATTTTTGATCGCAATAATTTCTCTCTAAAGAACCTTTTCATAATATTCCGCAAAATAGCATAGACACACGTCAGAATAATATTTCATCGGCATGTTAAAAAATGGAAGTAGCTATTTAATATGCTAAAATAGAATTTGGGGGCGTTAATGTACAGGAGTTTCGACGGTCCTACGAAAAAGCCGTTTTCAGGCTTCTCTCTAATGACTAAAATTTTTTTATGTGTAATAGCCTTAAGCAAATTTACCAATCACAGTTGATTATTTTTGGACCGTGCAGACAACAGGCTAACTCTGATTGGTCAATTTGCGTACGACTTTATAATTATGATTAAAATTTTTTTCACGTGCAATGGTCTCAATCTCCCTCGTTGCTTACGTCTTTCTGAGCGCCCTCCGTGAGGTACGGAAACAACGGTTAACTGCAACGTGCACCATACGCCACACTACTGCAACGCATCGTGGCGTAGACATAGGAACGAGGTGGACGAGGGATTCGGTCTGGCTCGAAGATTCGTAGAGGGAAACAGTTTCGTTCGGCTGAGGGTGCCGTGAGAGACCCGTATCGTTATTCACTCGGACTCGTGGAAGATGGGCGGCGAAGAAGGACTAGGTGTAACCACCGGTCAGCCGAATCTCTACAAGCAGGACCTGTCGAAACTCGTAAGTCGCGACGGCGTGGCCGTCTTCGCGCCATTCGCCCGACGCTCGCCGTCACTTAACCTCTCGCGTCCTCGCATGATCGGCGTGCCAGGCGACGTGTACACGTTCGCACAGTAATCCTGGTCTCCTAACCTTACGAGGGAGTGAGAGGAAAAAAAGAGAGAATTCGAAACGCCTCACCACACGGGATGTCACTCGTCTCATAGGGCGCGAGTCCAGGGACCACTCGGTGACCACTCGTGAATTGGGATAAGTGATCAAGGATAAGAATCAAATTTCTTGCTCCGTCTCACGATTCAGATGGCCGAGTTGGCTGTTACAACTCTTCCATGTGGTTTTTGACATTCGTTAATGGCTTAATTTTCATTTTCCTCGATCGTCGCGTGAATCGATTATAATAGGAGAGAACGTAATGAATGGAGAGAGAGAAAAAGGAAGGGAGAGGGAAATTATTGAAAATATTTGTTATTATTAACTAAATGGAATATAGAACCATGTTTTAAATTGATGTAAATTGTTAAAGTAGATTTATAGACAAAATAGTTGACATATGGTGACGACAGTCTATTTATTCATATCTTATGACTTTTATTAATTCTGTTTTTCTTTTTTATTATTGTTTGAAATAAAAATTTAATATAAAAATTGAATTTATCCTATGAATGATAAATTTTTTTTTATAAATCTGTATGTAGAAACTTTGAATTGTTTTACTCTATATTAATTTTTGATTATAGGATTTTTAATTGCATGAAAGTAGCAAATAAATTCTGACATGCAAAGAAATTTCTTTTTTACAATTTATATAACTTACATTTATTTCCAGTATTTTATTTATCAATAACAAACATTTCATGTAATTATTTTCTTAATTACGTTATTTTTTGCTTCCATCGTTAGTCTGAGACGTTTGAAAGGTTTCACATTATCTTAAAGTACTTTAAAATATTGTTGAACGTCAATAGCATGTATCTGAATATTTAAAGCTCTATAATCATAAATGTTGTGATGTTTTGAATTTAATTTTATGAATTCTATAATTGTTATATTGAGAATTATATTTATATTTTGTTTTTTATTTTTATACAGGATGTTAGTAAATTAACTGCATTATCACGAGAAGTAATTAGCAGACAGGCCACAATTAATATTGGTGAGTACACAGGATTTTTTTGATTTTATTTATATCACAAAACATATAATTGAATATATAAACAAATAAAGAAAGCCAATTAACGAACAACGAAATGATGTATTTAAGGCTTGATTCTCTTGCGACGCGACATGGGTTGTGTGACGTCAGAGGCGAGAAATAACGTAAAAAGTTTTTTGCGTCGTATAGCTTTATTTTGTATTTTTCCCTTAAAAATGATATGATATTTTCATATTCCTATAACTTGTAAAAAATACTAGAAAATAAAATATCTGTCCAATAAATGATGTAAAATAATTTTTGAAATAATGGTCACTACTCAGCTACCAAGAACAACTAGATCTAGTAATCTGGTATTACTAGTAATTTCTAATAGGTAAGCAATGTACCATTATTTTAAGAATTATTTTTACATTTTTACGTGATTTATTGTACAGATGTCTTACTTTCTAATCTTTTTTACAAGTTTTTTACAAGTTTTAAAAATACAAAAATATTATGTTTTTAAGGGAAAAGTATAAAATAAAGCGACGCAAGAAAGTTTACATGTCATTTCTCGCCTCAACATTATAATTCAATATGGTTGCAGCGAGAGAGCCGAACCTTAAGCGAAATAAATCTATTAAAACCATTTGATTTGCATAATCTGTTTTTTTATTGATTTATTTTTACGATTTTACTTATAAGTGAAATCAGTAAAAACATATTCACAATATTATGTGTTTAACAATATATCGATAGCTCTTATTTCAAAATGAGATTGTAACACTCATAGAAACAAATAACTCAGCCGGCAATTTCCAACAGATTTATATAGGGACATGTAAACATGTTTGTTAAGATATGTTATATGAATGTATAAATTTATTACAGGTACTATTGGGCATGTAGCACATGGAAAATCGACAATTGTAAAAGCTATTTCAGGAGTGCAGACTGTTCGTTTTAAAAATGAATTAGAAAGGAATATCACTATTAAACTCGGTAAGTACATTCAAGTTTATTAACTTTTCTTCACGTTGCCTATTGCACATCTATTTTGAAGATTGACTTTTTGACTATGACAAATTTATTTTTTGGAATGCTACAGTGGAATATTTTTACAATAATTTATTTTTTTTATGTCAGTGTACTGTACTGTAAAAAATACTTTCAATATTAATAGTTGTTGAAAAGATTGAGCAATCATTTTGTAATGTCATAAAGATAAATGTGATAAAAAGTAATCATATATTGATTACTATTAGAATAATAATAATAATAGTTATTAACAATTATTTAAATTAGTAATATTTGATATAAATTTTGCTTAATTAAATTTTAAATTATGATTTGAAAAAATTGAGATGAGAGGTATTTGAGATATTTGCTCTGTAACAGAAATTTCATGATTCTATTTTTGTTCAAAATTACAATGTCCTCGGTGTTTAATATTAAAATTATGGTATATGGGAATGGTATATGGGAATGTATTAACATTTCTTTAATGTCTACTAATAATTTTATATACGTTCTGTATTTATGTTATATATTATTATGTATAAAATATCCGATGATTTTATATCTACACATGCCGTGTTATTTGCGTTACCGTTTTATATCTTTCGTAAAAATGCAAATCGAAACGATACATCGTATGCTTTAGTAGAAAAATATATAAAAGTGGCAAAAAGAAAAAGAAAATCAATTTTCTCTTAATCCTTGAAGCTGCGAGTAGGATGAAAAACCGGATGTCCCTTAAGAAGATATTAGACTCACACACTGTTGTTATCATTATGTACCATTTAATCATGGCACAAAGCATCCCGGTGCTATTCGTTGCTATTATTTATCCGACAAGCCGAAATGAGAGCAGAAAAAGGAATAGTGAGGAGAAGAAAGCAAAACAAAACAAGACATAAGGAAACATAAGGAAAAATGGGCGGAAAGGGGAGAGCGGTCGTACAAATTTAAAAAAAAAAGGAAAGAGAAACGATGAAACGGGAAATGACGCTCTTTAAATGTTTGGCATTGCAGACACGGCGGATTGCGGTAGCAGCGGTGAATCGGCAGATATACCTGGCAGCATAACTAAAACGCCAGCTATTAGTCAAAAACGACACCTCTCCCCTCCTGGAGGTTTTGACGCACCATCGTGCGCTAAGATGCCTAAACTTCTCAACAAAAAGGGTTGTAACGACATGTCTCATCGATTGGACAGCAAAAAGATGCTCTCTTCCTCCTCTTCCTCTTCCTCACTGTCGATATTGTCATCATCATCGTCATCATCATCATCATCATCATCGTCAACAACAACGAGGTGCTTGCGAGCGCGCAAAACATTCACGCAGCAGATGCTCCAAGCGTTCGAGAACACTTCTCTCACGTACAGCGGGAATGCAAGCATAAGGGATCGAGGTAGTGATGGTCGGCGATCTGACTATGAGGAATCGTCGTCGGACGGTAGATTGTCTGCGCGAGAGGACATCATGACTCAGCACTTTGGTTTCGAACTAAAGGAAGCACGGGTGTTGTTGTATGATATCATGCATAGCGAGAAATATCGTGAGTTAACGATAATGTCCGATAAACCCTCTTCGGCTTCCGATAAGAAGTCGAAGCTTTGGGAAGTAGAAAAGATTCTGCAGAAGCGCAGGCAGAATGGCGAATCATTTTATTTGATCAAGTGGAAGGACTGGGACACCGAGTACAACACGTGGGAACCGGTGCGTAATCTCGTCAACTGCAAAGATTTGCTAGACGAGTTTGAGAACGAACGGCAAAAATTAATCGATCAATTCAAGGCAGCGGCGAATTTCTACCCGGACGCGCGCGACATCGAGCATTTTCTGGATCAACTGCGGCGTAGTAAAAGCGTGTCGATTGATGACGCCGTGTCCAATGCCGCCGCCGCCCTCTTCGAGGATACTATGTACATAGAGATTCGACGTTTCCTAAAGAATTCGTCGCACGGTACCAAACTCGAGGCGAAGATCAAGCGGCAAATAATGCGCACGCTGCTAATTGAGCTGCGTTATGATCAACTCGAGTCGCTGCAGGACTGGCAGAACGAGATGAATAGTATTACAAAGGGCAAGCCGACGATCCAAGTGGAGAACCTGGTGGATCTCGAGAGCGCGCCGCAGGACTTTTACTATATCGACAGTTATTTGCCGGGCGCGGGTATTATAATACCAGACGATCCGCCGATCGGTTGCGAGTGCGTCGGCGACTGTGAATCTGGCAATAGATCTAGCTGCTGTTTCGGGCAAAACGGTGCTACATCGTTGCCGTACACGTCGGCGCGTCGGATACGCGTGCCACTGGGTACGCCCATCTACGAGTGTAACAAACGTTGCGCCTGTCCGTCGACCTGCCCGAATCGAGTTGTACAGCAAGGCAGCGGTACTCAACTGTGCATATTCCGCACGGACAATGGACGCGGTTGGGGTGTGCGCACCCGACGCGCGATTAAGAAGGGCACCTTCGTCACCCAGTACGTGGGCGAGGTAATTAGTAACGAAGAGGCGGATAAGCGCGGCAGACAGTACAATGTGACCGGTCGTACGTATCTCTTTGACCTCGACTATAACGAGACTGATGGCCAATGTCCGTACACCGTGGACGCCGCTATGTACGGCAATATTTCGCACTTTATCAATCATTCATGCGAACCTAATCTCGCGGTTTACGCGATTTGGATCAACTGCCTAGACCCGAACCTGCCGAATCTCGCGTTGTTTGCTATTAAAGACATCCGACAGAACGAAGAACTCACTTTCGATTATATGTGTCAAACGCCGCGGGACAACTTGAAGAGACAGCAGCTACTGGACAATGAACCGAAGAACGAAAATGCAGTCTCAAAAAACAGGATACTTTGCAAGTGTGGTGCTTCAACGTGTCGGCGGTATCTGTTTTAAAAAAATATTCCGCTCTGCCGCATGACTTTCGCGAGCGTCAACGTCCGTTAATGTTGGCTCTGATTTAACTGATAATCTTTTTCTTCTGTGTAGAAATTTCGATATGAATTTATGTCTTGCGATAATTTTGTTGACGAGTATATTATCAAATTGGTGACAATTTGAAAAAAAAGATACTGCACTCAGGATTTGTTAATCCAGATTGAGATAGTAAACTCGACCAAGTACTTTTATAATTATTCAGTATTTTGTTGCAATCACGTTTCTAAACTTATCCTTATGTTTATAAATGTCAACAAAATTCTGATTAATTATTTAATTATTTAACTTGTAAATGATTTAATTATCGTATGTAACAGTTTTTTAAATTTTAAAAAATTATCTATATTTTTTGAATACTGAATACGCTAATAATCTAATATTATAAGAATAGAATATTTCCAATCTCTTTTTACAGAGAAAAAAAATTTGACAATTAGCTAAAATTATATCTTACTAAGTTATGTACTTTTCCCATGATATGCAACTGATACAATAACAAATTATAATTTTTTTCTTCATTTTGCCTATCGGACGAATGGGATTTTAAGATATAAATTGCAAATTTTAAATTGCAGCGAAGAATAACTTATTATCGCACAGAAGAAAGTTAAAGAAGAAAGTTAAAGAATTAATTAGAATTGCTTGATGAGACTGCTTATAAACTTTGTATATGAATATTGATCATCAATTAATAATTATTAATGTTAAGTTTCTTGAATATACTGAAAGTTATGAGTGTGACAAAGCTATTTGTTGTGTGGTTTTGTTTTAATTTTACAGTCTATGCTCATTTTTATACTCATTTAATTGTATAAAAGTTAAACGCGAAGGGCACAAGCATAAAAATTCACGTTTTTCAATTTGCATGATAATGCAGAATAGTATCGATTTTGTTACTCTTACTTTATATAGTCTTTCTTTTCCCTTCCTCTTGGAGAAGTACACAAGTATATTTTTGTATTCGCATCTGT